TTATTCGCTTGACGTCTTAGATTAGCATTCGAATCCATAATCAGAGGCAGAACCAGACAAGGTGTGAATTCGAAACGTCAGGCGAACAGCGTCCTATATTCGAACGATTACACCTCCCTCACAATTGCCTATTTTAACTCCAATTTTCGCTTATATCGACTGCTTATCCTTGTTGATCAGTGTATCACCGCTCATCTCTAGTTCTCTTGACTCTGTATTGCTCTATGGGAACATGATGGCTGTAGACAGTGAGCAGAAGAGGCGCCGGAGGAATCGCCTTTACCAAACACAGGTTCACACACAAGTCACACTGCGCCTAGCAGGCAGGCAGGGCGCAGATGATTTTTGTTCGCGAGGGATATACTATAAGGTATTGTCTCGGATCAGGTGAGCTAGGCTTGGTTTTTCTCATTCTGGTATATGTGCGCTGAGTAAACCGTATTTGTTTTGACTGTCAGTTGACATGATTGTAGGCAGCCTCAGGTGACACCGTCTGCGAGCGTATGTGCGAGAACAGAGAAAGTGGACAATAACAGGCATTAAGTGCAAGATGTGGACAGGTGATGAACGGGAAGATTATCTTTTTTTTCACCGATATCCAGACTACAGTTGAACTTCGTCTGTTGGTAAAATTCACAGTAAGCAGGGTGTATTTGTTTACTTTACGAATATGTTGGATCAAATAGGAGTACTGTCCTGGGAGTCAAATTAGTCAACTGTTCTTCCCATCGTGCGATTTTTACCCAAAAGTGCTTTTTGAAAACCGGAGTCCAATACCTACTTTTGACAGTTTCTTGGGATAAAACTGACCCTTTCTGAAGAGGGAATCTACGTGCGTGTCTATTTAAATAAAGAATTATCATGATATCGCACCTTAAGCATACACAAAAGTGAATACAAGAACAGCAGCGCCAACCAACGAAATATTCTGGAGCAGTACAGAGAGTCGTAAGACTGGTTGGACGCGTTGGACGGCCTATTGAAGTCACCTCTGCAAAACAAGCATTGCAGCGCCTGTATTTATAAAGTGAACATCAGCCAGGTGTTTTGTTAAACACTTTGGCGACGTTTGCCATGTAGAGAACCCAAAAATTTAACTGAAATAATAGGCAGAGGTCCACTTCGATATGAACTTAACGAGTCAAGCGCAATCATACTTCAAAAATGAATACGTAGGTAATGGACAGTCTTCTACAGTTTCTGTAGGGTGATTATGTTTCGTTTTAATTTAGGACTGATTTTTACTTCTCAAATGCTCTAGAGGTCTGCACTATACGTACGCACTTAAGTTTATGTTCAATCAACGATAAAAACCCAACGGCTGGGAAAGAATTACCTGATGCTCAAACTGATCGTCTTCACAGAGCATTCGGGAACAAAAAGCACAGGAGTAGATACGGCCACCGTGCTCCGTCACATCCCTGTGACATTCCACACAGACACAGTCACGCAGTGGGCAGGAACAAGCATGCGTAGTCAGACAGTTGAGTCCATGGCAAACCCAGGCCTCACAGAAGTCGCATATGGCTCCCTAAGGGAAAAGAAAGCAGGTAAATGTTTTTTTTAGACGGTTACTAGGTACACGTCAAAAAGTGCTGGAGGAAGCAGGTCAAGTTAATGAGCTAGTTACAGGCTTTGCTGTTGGAAGAAATGAGTGTGAAATTCCCAGGCA